GGTGGGTCACTTAGTTTATAAAATTTCTCACTGTGAGCAGAATTGATGTGATCGAAGAAGTTGATTGTTAATTTTTTTATGTACTCTGTTATTGTGGGTAGCTGAAAATCTTTGTGAAGTGCATGGATACTTAGGTAGGTATATTAAATTATAATATAACACGTTAATAATTAATAATCTTTAACTTTAAGAATAATATAGTTTACAAACAGTTAAAAATCAATTATTATTTATTTTTATAATAATGTACCTACCTACTTAAATATATACTTAATTTATTCAACAATAATGAATATTTTGCTATTATCACATACAGAAAAATTGTCTTCAAAAATGATGACGGACGGATGTAAAAAAAACATATATCTAAACTCTAAAGAATAATATTTTTCATTTTCAGGTCATTCTGTTTCACCAGAATTGGGAAAAAAAGCTCCTTACCAACTAAATACATAGGTAACACTTTCTTATTACAGAGCACAATTTATAACTTAAAATTTTTAAACTATATATTATCTATATTTCAATTTAATAATGTAAAACTTTTTGACAAAGGTATCTATACTATAACCAATAGGCAATAACCATATATTATATTATATTATAAAATACTTGTTTAATAACTTTTAAGTACTTTTAAATCATAATAATATTTGATAAAATAAAACACTAAATATTTTAAACTATATAGGTAGGTATAAATATACTTTTAAAAAGTGTATCAGTGTATGTATGCAAATTAAAAGTAATGATGATAAGTATATTGGATTTTCTGATGGCAGTTAGCCCCAACATTAGAAAGCAATGCTACGGAATCATTTTTAATTTGTACACATGGGTACATTTTTAAAAATGCTTTTAATTATATACAAACAGCAAATGGCAGTTATTTTAAATTTTTTTCTTCTAAACATTTTTTAAATTATGTACAAATGACATATGATAAATGACAATTATTGACAATGTAAATTGCAGATTGCAGCTATACTCGTATGTCGTATATTTTATGATAAGTGTAATATATGTTAAGGAATGTTTTTGAACTACCTACCTATTTATTATATAGGTACCAGCAAAGAACACACATACTGACATACTAGCTGATTCGTGCACTTAGTTGCCCGTTAAAAATTACAACTCTATATGAGACTCGATGGTGATTGGTGATACCTAATGCGAGCAGTATGGCCTAACTGCTGTGGATTGCGGACCCCGCTTGATGAGTACTTAATATAAACAATATGTTTAATTTTTATTTTGATTGAGGACACGCTGACGAGTGGCTATAAGAGCATTGTGCAACTCAGCCACCTTGGTAGGCAATGTGCTAAAATGCATTTATATGCACGCTTATACCTGATCTACTCTGTAAAATGAAGTCCATACACATTATAGTATTATATTACATTAGTATCCACGGGTATACAATACAGGTTTAGGTATTATGTCGAAGATACAGCTAAGATTTTATTTTGTTTACAATGTACGGGAGGGTGCAGGTTAACTGGATGTCGGAATAGTTACTCTTAATTGAATAACATTACCCATGTACACTATATGTCTATATTATAGTATATAGCAGTGTTTCCCAAAGGGTGTGCCGCGGCACAACAGTGTGCCGTGAAATTTGAAAGGTGTGCCGCGACAACTTGAACTTTTTTTATAAAAAAAACATAAAATGATTTTTTTTTTAAATATTAAAATATATAATACAAATAAAACTAATAATTAATACAAGAACGAACGTCGCAAAGCTTCAATACAATTTGGGCTGGCCGTTGTGTTTTTTGAACGTAACTGTTTCGTATGACCGAACGAATTATCACTTAATATTGAAAGGCCAAAAATGTATAGTACACGGAACAATTCTATGATATATATATACAAGTACAGCTATCAAGATATAATAATATTATTACCTATTAACGATAATAATATCCGACATCATTACCTATATACGTATTATTCGATAAGTAGATAATATTTATTCAAAGTGTGCCGTGACTTATAATAACTAATAATAATGTGCCGCGATGGGAAAAAGTTTGGGAACCGCTGGTATATAGGTACTATACATTAACATATAGGTACCTACTACCTACGATTTTTGAATTCTAGACCGCATTTTGGCTTAGCGAAACGTTTTAAATTCGGATTTTCTGTATAGGTACATCAACAGCGGTGTGTTAATTATTTGAAAGGTTTGTACACCAATTTTCGTTCAAGATGTAGTGCAAATACTTAAATGAAATTTATTTTTAATGCAATATATTATGACTAATAGACTTCTTTTTACTACGATGTACCCATGATATTATTACAGGCATATGCTATATATTAGTGTATTAGATGAAAGCATTAAAACGAAGGGGCAGAGGCTTACCGAATCAATATTTCAGACCGGGAATTTTTCTTGTCAGACCAAAAATTAACAGGAGACAAATAATTTGATCATAAGTATGTTAAAAAAATAATAATGATAACAAATATTTATTAGGTATTTCAAAAATTATTTTCAACATTTTATGTAGATAGACAGGTATAAATATACATACAACATATACATGTAATAAAATATAATATATTTTTTTTATAGATGTAAACATTTTAATATACTACCTATACACATATATATATATTAAAATGAACTCTTAAATGAATACCCTTTTTTACTTAGTTTTTTTTCAAAATTTCACTTAAGTTTCCTAGATTTTGTAGATAACAATATTGTTCTCTAGCAGTCTAGCAGTTTAGCCAGAAATCTCTCCGGAGGGGGAACCACTAGATTAAATACTATAAATATATACCTTGGTAGCCGTAGTTTACTCCAAAGGAATTTTCCAAAGAAAAATACAATATCGCACTTACCACGCCATCAAAGTTTAAACGAATTTAATAATATTTATATTGTTATTAACAATTAAATGTCATATAATGTTATTATGCATAGAGTTTTAATTAACTAATACAGTATCTGGTTCATAGGCGGTCCGTGGGCCTAATCCGGGAAATAACTAGACCGCCAAAAATCTTTTACATTTTTTATGTAAGTATTTGGATGTAGTCTGGCTCCACATACATATCATGTGAAACTTCGTTCTCCAAAATGACGTTTTTCAAGAATAATTATCGTTCAAGATTAACTGATCTCCAGTCTCCACCTTTAAAATATCGAGAGCAATAATATGGTTCTCCAAGGACCAAGGGTACCAAATTTAAAAAAGAAACAGGTTTGTGTTATATAATTTTAAATAATAATCTCCTTTAAACAGCTTCGACTGTATTTTCAAATTTCAACGCATAAACGAATAGGTACTTTTATTATTAACTGCGTACAATGTACATCTAGTCTATTCCGGCCCTTTACATTTTTTTTTCAAACTATCTGGACAGCCATAGAATTAAATTGCCGATTCCAGCGTCATATCACGGGTAATGGGTTGCATACAATGATATTTCTTATATTACATTATTTCATATAATATACCTAAGGCCCGTGTCATAATTGCGGAATATCCGCAGCGGGTGTTCCGCAACAGAATTTCCGCGTATGAAAGGCCGGTCTCGGTCGGTTTACCACAGTGGTTTTACGAATTACAACAACGCTAAACTACTAACTAGCTGCCGGCTGCATTCTGCTTAATTTCGTTATCTGATATCCAAGGAATCGTTTGTATAGAAATAGATTTGTGAGAATATACTAAAATAAACTTTGGAGAAATCTTCACCAAATCACAATACATAAGAAAAAAACATTTTACACAATTTTAAAGTTATTACTAGGGATGGGCCGATACCACTTATTACCGATATCCGATATTCCGATATATGCTGCCGATAGCCGATATAAAACCGATACCCGATAATATATGGAAATGTTAAAACAATATTTTTGACAAAAAAAACATGAGCCGATACCACCATAAAACCGATACCATCAACCGATATATAATTAAACCAACACCCGATAACACAAATAATATTACCTAGAAAAGTGAAAACATTGATTATTATAAAATAATATATAGTATTTGATTATTGATAACCTAACCTGTGCATTTGTGAATTATGATACTATCAATACTATGCTGATCGATAGGGTTTTTTTTTTGTATCGGTTGAAATATCGGTTTTTTTTTCAAAACCGATATCACCGATATCGGCCGATATCTAGTATCGGTTCTTGTTTACGCTGTATTTTATTATGTGTGCGCTATGCGCGGAACCTGTTTTTTTGTTCGTCATTATCTTTACTGTGCGATATGCATACTACCTAATTAAAATTTAATTGTACGTTCATCGGCGGTTACACTGGTGGGTTTTCGTACCTTCTGTCACAGAACACGAGACCGACCCGGTATAATCAGTAATTTACCGGGTCTATTTTCGTGCTTCTGTCACAGAACACGGGACCGACCCGGTGTAATCTCCGATGAACCGGGTATAAAAGGCCGCACGACACGACCACCAGTATCATTCACCGTCTTTCCGACATTGTAGTAAGACCCACCACGGGCAGACTTGCGCAACTAGGAAAGGCGGCCTCCCAGCCCAACTTATCGGACGGTTTGTGACTCGGTCAATGGTGCAATAGTCAGAGTAATTCCGGCATTGCATCGGTCGACACCCCGTCCGATAAGCCCACTCCCCTGTCGTGCTCCGTCGTGTCGTATCGCCACTTTACGCGCCCGTCTTTTTCGTCTTGTTCTAAAATTGTCCTGTTCAAAATACACGTAACCTTGTAAAGCAATATTGTCGTTATTGTTTCACCTTCGTCCAAACATTTTGGTCCTTCGGGCCGGATTGCATCAAAACAAACCAGCAATCTCTACACATACAGTCCACAACCGATCTTCGACTTTGGTAAGTTGTTTGTTTGTTAATTTATCTTAGCTGATTACTGTAGTTCTCTCAACGGACTCGTTTCCCGAGTTCGTATAACCATCCTTGTCGTCTAAACTACAGTAACACTCAGCATTTCCACCTCGCAAACAAGCAAAATGGCGATGCCTGCTTCAATTGGCTACATTGATGCCAAAGCAAGAGTCAATCGTGCAATATCTCGAATGACAACTTTCGTCAAGGCGTCAATTGAGTTCAATAGTGACAAAACAAGTACCGGTAAACGTGCCAAGATACGCCATATGCTCTCTGAACTTGTGGATATTCGTCAACATGTCGAAGACGACATCCAAATTATGGAATCAGCTGTTGGTCAAAAGACTGCTCCAATTGATGTTACCGACAATCAATGCAGCACTAAACTGATTGAATCTTTTGACACCATGTACTACGAACTCGCCGCTTTCGCTGATGTCCATTCATTTTCATTGAACTCCACCACGTCCAATACATCAGCTTCGAATCAATCATCTTTCATCAACAACTTATCAATGTTCCAACTGCCCAAACGCAAGTTTCCAACCTTTTCCGGCAACATAGTTGAATGGCAAGGATTTGAGGACCTATTTCAATCCATTCTTTCTCACGCTCCTGAATTACCAGACGTAGAAAGATTTGAATATTTGAAAACATCCCTTGAAGGAGAAGCACTCTCTCTGGTTTCACACCTTGCTATCACGTCCGGAAACTACGTAAGTGCCTGGGAAATCTTGCGTTCGAGATACGGAAATAAACGAGACTTGGCCAGGACCCATCTGGAAGCGCTTTTGAAACCTCATATCATCAAATGGGACGATGCTGCCTCACTAAAGAACTCTATAAACACTATCTTGGAACATACCTCCGCGTTGGACAATCTTGACTTTGTCACCCGCCAATGGAGTCCGATCCTGGTACATATTTTTGAAAACCATCTCGACTTCGAACTCCGTGCTCGTTGGGAGCACATTGTTGGTGATCAACATAATCCACAGGTCAGTGAGTTCGTCGATTTCTTGCGCAGTCACGTCCGTTCTGCGGAAGTCCTTCCTCAAAGTTCTGCCAGCCAGCCAAGAAAACAACCCATTCCGTCATCGCAACCAAGTCATTCTAAGCACCGTTATGGATCACATCAGAAGGTCTTGTCTGCTACGACAAGTCAATCAACCTCCATAAGCTGTCCACTGTGCAAAAAAGCGCATTCCATTCGAAAGTGTCCATTGTATATTGACCAAGTTCCAAACGAACGATTTAAATTGGCAAAGTTACATCACCTATGTATTAACTGTCTTGGACCTGGGCACTCGACCGCCACTTGTCCATCAAAGTATAAGTGCCAAACTTGCCAAAAGTCGCATCATACTTCATTACACTTTGGTGCTGTGTCTGGTGTACAACCGAAACTCCTTCCGTCACCTTCAGATTGTCAAGAACACAATTCGAATGTTACCTCAATGGTTGTTCGAGGCCAACCGAAATCAACAGTACTCCTTTCTACAGTATATCTGAATGTCCGTGCGCATAATGGCTCTCGTCAGTCACTTCGTGCTTTGATAGACAGTGGCTCTCAGGCCAGCTTTATAACAGATAAATCTGTGTGTTCATTAATGCTTCCCCGAAGTCATTCATCTACTATTATCTCGACATTTAATAGTAACACGAGTGCTCCTGTCCGTGGCAAATCCACAATCGTCATCTCCCCTAATGGTCGTTTAACTCCATCAGTTCATGTTGAAGCCTTGATTGTTCTAACAATTACTGAGTGTACGCCTCAGCAGCAGATAGTTCCAGGGAACTGGTCGCACATTGCAAGTCTCCCACTAGCTGATCCATCGTATCATACACCAGGAGAAATTGACATCCTGCTCGGTGCCGATATTTTGCCCTCACTGTTGCTCGACGGGAAAATTTCCGGAAAATGTGGTGAACCTATGGCCATCGAGACAGTGTTCGGTTGGATCCTAATGGGACCTGTCC